AACCTTTTAAACTGCCAGCATAGATGGAGTTTTAGCAAACATGTTTTTGATTTCTAGGTGGAGTGTAGGCTGTTCAGCTCTGCTCTGTAAAGCCCTGCATGGTCTACATTTTGGGCTGGGAGAAACAATTATCCCACAATGTTATACTACCAATCCAGAGGAGATCAGTGGAAAAACTACACTGAGGAAGGGTTAGGATAGAAGTGAATAACTCTAACAGAGCAATTTTCATGAAGTGTCTTAACACTTGCTGAGATGGCAGGATATTGTGGAAGCCAAGAAATCCTTGCTGAGGCTTGGAGAATGCCTTGCCTTATTTTTTGAAAGGACTTAATGGGATATGCATTCTTTTTTGCACATGTATGTATTAATCAAAGTAGGAAACCTTTGGCTTTCTAGCTCAGAATGGTAAAAAATTTAAAACCTAGCATGCATGGCTCTGAATTTTGTGGTTTAAGCAAGGCAGCAATAAACATGAATGCCTGCATGCTGGGGTGAGCAATGTATTTTGGAGTAAGTATACTTAGACCGGACTTTAAGGGGTAGAAAGAAAATAGAGAACTAATTATTTAGTAGCAAAGAGAATAAAGCAGCCTCTTATCCCAGATGACACTGGGGATCATTGGGTAACATGGTCTGGTGTGAGGTGTCCCTGCCCATGGCAGGGGGTTAGAACTAGATGATATTAAGGTCCTTTCCGACCCTAACTATTCTATGATCCTGATAACTCTGGGAGGAGCAGAACTGAGGTTGGTTTCCTCCAAAGGGTGTTGAGTCAGTGTGAGCACAACGATGGTATCTCTGAACACTTAAAAACTCAAACATAGTGCAGAATGAGGTAGGTGGTTCTTCAATGGCCAGCTCTTGCTCCAAATATCAAGTTTTCATCACTTGCCATGGAATTCAGAATTTTCTTGGACTTTTGGCTTCTTGCACTTCAAATAGCAAATTAGTGTTTTTGGGATGGGGGAGAACTTCTTCATAGTGTGGGAGAGCTATTGTGAGGGAGAGATGGCAACACAAGGTTGTTGGATACAAAAGAAATGTAGGCCTGGTGTGCAGCATAACTCACTGATTTGAATCATTAATTTATGTATTGCAGTGAAGGTCAGTGTTCATGTTGTAAACTTTTTGTAACTTTTTAATTATTAAAAAGAAGTGGTGGAAAGAGAAGGAAAAGAGTTTGAAGAGCAGCAATATTGCAGAGAAAATGTTAATGTATGAAGGGAAAATATAAATCAATTTGGTCATTGTACAGATGTACCAAAGATTAATCTCCCAACAGAGAAGGAAGTGACGGGATAGGAATGCAATATTTCAGCAGGCCTGTCATTCCAGGCGGTAGAGCAGAGGTATTTCCTTGCAGGAAAGCAGCTCACCTTGGCTCGCATCTCTGGCGGCACTTGCAAAAGAAACTCTTGAGCATGTCAAAAACGAGAATGCACTCACAGGTCTGTGCAGGCGCCTTACTTCTGTCTCATCCCCCTCAAATTCTCATTGGGAAAATCCCCAGTTAAACAAGGGAAAATACAGGGACACTGATGAAAGTGTGAACTGACGAGGCAATAAAATATCTTGACTTCTGAGATGAGCTGAAAGCAGGATTCGGTTTGAATTGCCTCTCTGGAAGAGCAATATTTCCATGGTGCTACAGATAAAACTTGGCTATTCAGCTATCGGTGTGAGTTGTGCAGTGGCAGGGACTCCAAAATAACACAATTGCAGTGCTGGCTGGCAGTGTAATCACAACAGTTGTGAATAGGGTGTGTATAAAATAAAATATAAATTATAAAATATAACATAAAAACCACCCCCCCTTCCTGAAAATTTTCCTTGGAAAGAACAGCTTGGTCTTTGTGAGGTGCTGAGAAAGCATCAGACTGACACCGTTGCCTTACAGGACCTCACTCAGCCTAGGTTGCATAAAAGGGCTTTATAGGATTATAAAGGTTCCATGCAGCGGCAGCTCCAAGGCAATGTGTCAGGTGGGGCACAGGCGCTCCCTGGCTCTGCCTGCACTTGTTTGTTGGTGCCATGCTCTGAAAAGTGCCACCTCACCCCTGGAACATGTCTACAGAGCTAAGGCTGCTGCACTGGTCCCCTCGCTGCTAAAATAGGCATCCATCCAGTGCTAGGGAGGGAGATGTATGGGTGTGCATGCACATATGCTGCTTTTGCTCATGGAGGTCTTAGCCTGGAAGAGCTTCATTGCTTGCTGGCTAGTAAAAGCCTCTTTCCTCTAAATTTACTTCTTGTCTCTCTCTGGAGATGTTTTCCTAGTATACTTGCCTCACTCTGATTCAGATCAGCTTGAAAGCCAGTGAAATTGGTCTGAGCAGTAGACACAGACCAGGCACTGGTGATGGGTCTGTTCAGCACGTGCACTGCATATGCATCATTTTTTACTAATTTGGACTTTCAAGTCCCTTTCTGTGATGCATGAGGGCAGGGCAGAGTTGAGTTGGGAAACAGGAGATGGGAAAAAGTGTATTCTGCTTTTACAGGGCATCATCTTGGTGTCTTGTTTTTGGGTGTTTTTCAGGAAGGCATGAAAGGTGTGCTGGCACTGCTTCTCAGCTCACTGTGGCTGTTGTCAATGTGTCACAGATATTAGGTGAGCTCCTACCAAAGCCTTTTGCAGAAAGCGGTGAAAATGTACATTGCTGACAATTAGTCAGTTTAATGCTTTGATTTTCTGTTGTTTCCCAAGGCTTCCCAACCATTCAGAGTGGCTGTTGGAGGCCAGTCCTCTGGTATTGTGCAGCACTGCAAATTCTATTTTTCTTTCTTCTCCCTATTCCTCACTCTTTGGTTTTTTATTTAGATGTCTTCTGTTGGAGATACATGCAATTGGACTGTGCCATCAACAAGTTTTGCAGGGCTGATCTTGTGGGAAGCCATACTTTGAAGTATTTCAATGCCAAACGCCTAACAGGGAAGATGGAGAAGGGGTTCAAAATCAGCAGTTGCTCTGCAGAGATCTTTCTATAGAATCCATTCCTGTATCTCTCCTCACTGCAGTAGACATCTGCTACATGATACTTGGAGCTTATGTTTTCCAGAACCCTTAGCTGAACAGTACCTGCTTAGTTGGACAGGTTAACTGGGGAGGGGGAGCTGTAGAAATTGCTTTTATGCCTCCCTCTGTCTTTGCCATCTGAGGGTATCTCTTGTGCCAACTGTGAAAGCTTGCAGCAATGAATCTCCAGAGCAGAATAATTGATGAAGGCCAGGAATGAATGTCCTGGAGACTTCATTACAGGTGTTTACCACTGCGAAGCTCAGACCAAGCCACCTTTCTCACAAACAAGCCTGCTTGGAGCTTTGGTTAACAAGGTGCCAGGGCTGGATAATGTCCTATCTGTTTGGGAAGCAGCTGTGACCAAATCCACACACTGTCCGAGTTGAAACGAAATGAAAATATAACAGCTAAAACTTGTCAGTTCTTCAGATGGAGCTTGCTGTTTGGCCTTTTGGATACTTTTATAATTTTTCTGGTGAGCAGAATTTTGGGAAGAACTATTTTTTGGAAGTTCTTCACTGGGTTACACTAGCTTTCCATGTTCCCCACAAATCACCAACTTTTCATTTTTACCATTGCAGTTTTTCTGGAAATCCTAATTTCCAGAAATTACCTGAAGGTAACTGAAAGAGAACATTTCCCTGCTTGTCTTTTTTAGTCTCTCCTGTGGAGACAGGCTGAGAGACCTGGGCTTCTTCACCCTGGAGAAGGCTCTGGGGAGACCTTAGAGCAGCTTCCAGTGCCTAAAAGGGCTTTTGACAAGGGGCAGGTAGGGACAGGAGAAGAGAGAGAAATTGTCATTAAAAAAGGAAAGCACAAACTGCCACTGGGTGGGGGTTTAAATGCTTTCCAGGATTCCTCTGCATTCGGTAAAGGTGGGGGGGGGGGGTGAGTGTGTGCTCCCCTCTTGTGCCTATCACCCCATTTTCCCCAGTGGTTCTGCAGCAATGGAGATGTTTGAACCTGCGGCCCATCCCCATGCTTACCTGTGCAGGATTGCAGCATTTCAGCAGGTTTTCAATTCAGGCTTTAAGCAATTCTTCCTTTTTGGCTCGGGAAATGTCTTCAGGTCCTTAGAAACCCTGCATAGTTATTCCCATTGACTGTGTGGACTGGCACCTGGCCGGAAAAAGACAGAGCCAGGAGAGTGGGGTGTGGGCAGCCTGGCCAACAAACGGCTCATGAGCCCAGCAGATGTTTCTGAAGCCTCTCTGCTCCCTGGGGCTGATGCCAGCCTGGTCCTCTTCCAGCAGCTCATCACTTGATACTGGGAACAGTATGCTGGCTTCTTTTTGTTGCACATTGTATGAGTCAAGGACCTTGTGTTTAGAGAAGGCAGAGGAGGGGAGAAGGCAATGGGACATGCATTTCTTCAGGCCATTTTTTAGGTTTCTGGGCTAATCCTGCCTTGCAAAGCTTTTGGCAGATTCTCCTGGAAAGTGTCTCCTGCTCTCAAGCCTCAGGCTGTGGCTTACCAAGTTTTATGTCAGAATCAATTCTGCTGAAGGCAAGATGGCTATACATGCTTTCCTGATGTGCCTCTTGGTTTGGTGGGACAAATTATCCTCTATACCTTCACAAGCCAGTTCTAGCTCTGCTTGATGTGCTAAAATGATTTTTTGTCTATGCACAGGAGAGTGACTGTAGTGCTCTTATTTTTGCTAGTTTCCCAAGTTCATGCAGTTAGGTACCTTCAATCATTTCTTTCGCATTTCAGTTTTCAACACAGTCCTGGGGTGAAGATTGCCAAGAACTTAAGTCCAAGCAAGCTGTAAGAGCTGGTAGAGAACATAAATTCAAATATTGCTTCTTACCCTTCTCTTGCTCCCACCTTGCACATTCACTGCAAAGAGCCTTGCCTAGACATCAGCAAGCCCCATGTGGTTGTTCAACCAGGGAGAGCCCGCCATGGCTCCCACTTGTACCGCAGGCTGTATTTTCTCTATCCTCACTGCTGTGCCGCTCTTTTCCTCTGCAGGCTGACAGGGAACGAACCCCTGACCATCCTCCCTCTGACCTCAGAAATGGAGGAAGCTGCCGTCAAAGCCCACTACAAAGTCTGTGATCGCCTGAAGCTGGAGAAGAAGCAGCGCAGGATGTGCCGGCGGGACCCCGGCGTGGCTGAGACCTTGATGGAGGCAATCAGCATGAGTGCACTGGAGTGCCAGTACCAGTTTCGCTTTGAGCGCTGGAACTGCACCCTTGAGGGTCGCTATCGGGCCAGCTTGCTAAAGAGAGGTGAGTAGGGTGAGGGGGTCTTGGATGAAGGTGCTGGCACCAACCGCACACATTGGCTACCCTGGCATTTTTCAGGGTGGTCATCCTGGCGCATCCTTTGCCAGTGATGGGTCACCACCTCACCAGAAGCTTGTAGAAGGAAACCACTGAGCCAGGCTCAGCTCATCCTTGAAAATTCAGACCAAGCAAAAGATGTGCTATATGGTAGTATTGTATATGCTTGTATCACTTAAGCAACCCCTGTTTGAATCCCATGGCTTCTTTCCTTAGAGGCTGGAGGTATTCCTGCATGTGTCTGTTGCCAGTAACTTCTGATGGAAGTTGAGTTGTTGCTGGAGGGGAAGGTGTTGGCGTTCCCAAAGCTGTTCCAGTCCTCCCCCACCCCCATTTCTTATATCAACTTCTCAGGAAAGAAGTTGAGAAAATGCCTCAAGGGGAATACAACTAAATGGATTGTTCTGTGCTGTCCTGTTAGTGGTGGCAAGGGGACCCCTATCATAGTGCAGGGCAAAATGGGCAAATGCTTGTGTCCTCTTGTTGCTCTACCCAGGGAAAAGCTCCCTGGATGCAAGTGGTGGGTAATTCCCACAATCCTTCCAGCAGTTCAGGTGGAGATGACCAGAAGCTGAGAGAGTACTGGAGGACCAGGTGATATTTTTATCTCCTTCCTTTGTGCTACCTCATAGTCTAGTTTCCTGCACCCTCCTAGTAAAATCCAGTTTTTATTTCTGGACTGCAGCTAATGGTGCAGCAGGACCATTTTACAAATAGCTTGCATGGGTCTTGAGGACTTTAGTGACTTGTAGAAAGTTCCATGCTCAGCAATGGACCTGGACATAGAAATCCAGGATCTGATGTACTCAAAGATAAGAGCAGATGTTTGCAAGGTGCCCTCCCTCCCTTGCTAATTAGTGAGGAGGAGTAATTCAGAAGTGCTAGGGCTTAACTAATGCACTGTCACTGATTGCAGTGGAAACAAGGAAAGTCCTTATGAAACCCAAGAGGTCCAGCCAGAGCTGCAAGACATTTAAAAATAGCCCTGCATGCCAGAGGAGTCCCTGGATTAGTGTTGTCTTGGGAAAGCCAAGCACTTTCTCATGCTGACACCTGGAGGCCACAGCTTGTTCCTTCAGACGTGCCGGCCCCTGTGGGTAGCCCTTGGCAAGGGGTATTTTAAAGCAGCCTGAATGTGAGCTGCCTTAAAACACCCTTGAGAACCCCCCTCCCTTGTCAGGACCCCATGTAATAAATACAACTCTGAGGGTTGCAAGGTTCTGTCTGCTGTCTCATTCTTCCATGTTTTATGCCCCTGCAACATCTCTGCTCTCCACTGATGCTGTAAATCCTTCAGAAGTCGTTCCTGCAGCATAACACACGACCTTGTAAATCTTTCTCCTTCTCTCCGGGAGCTGCTGGTTCCTGGTTCAGCACTGCAGCAAGTGATACCCCAGGGCAAAGGCGCACATGTATCACCTACTAAGACGCAGTTATCCAAATATGCTGGTGCGGGCTTTCTTCCTCTCCTTCAGGGCCATTGCAGCTTTTAAAGGAGAGAAGGGGGGTGGGGGGGAGGGAAGAAAGGCCCCCCCCCCCAGTTTCACTTAAGTTTCTCCCTCCATTTTTACACTTGGTCGCTGGAGCAGCCCGGCTGCTGGTTTGCAACTTGGGCTGATGCAGCCTGTTTCTTAAAATAACAGGGGATTGTTTAAGGGACTTGTTATCCTCTTTGGATACTCACAAACAATTTTGGAAATGTCTGAAACTGGATAGCTGTGGATGGCAGGCTGTCAATGCACCGGGGGTTAGAATGCCTGCATTGATTTAAACCTCATTATCTTGTTACGAAATATCTTGGTGCAATCAAATAGTGCATGGCGGAGATGGCTTTAAATCTGGCCGGAGCCAAATGTCACATGGACTTGCTTGGAAGCTGCCTGAGCTGGCTGTGGGCAAGATGATGCCTGTGCTGATGAGCACTGGGAATCTGTGAAGCTTTAAGTGATGGAGAATGGAAGGAGTAGAGCAAAGCTTGATGAGGAGATTCATGGAGGGGGAAAATCTGGCAACTGAACCATTCCTCCTGTCTTTCCATCAAACACTGTATCCAATGTGGTTGCTTGGCACTGACTTTGTGCTGAGTTTTCACAATTGCTCTGAATTCAGTCCTTCTACAACCTACTTGAAGGCTTCCTGGCTTGATCTGGGCTGTCTACTAAACTGGACCATAGCCAGACTGTTTGCTGCTAATTGCAGTGTCTCAGAGGAAGGTTTACACACCCTATTCTATCAAGGACTTTCTATTAGCAAACTGATGTCCCTCCATTTCGTAGCACAAACTGTAGGACTGGCCTCTTGCCACCACTATCAGGAGAATGGAGGCTTGGGAGCATCTGTCTCTAGCATCAGCAACCCTTGACAGGCATGTGGGCAGTCTGACCTAGGGTGCAATCTAGAAAAAGCTAGCCTTCAAAAGATGAAAACTGCTTAGAAGGCATTTTCTGTCTGGAAGAGTTTGGTGGTCTGCACACCCATGCGTTTTATTGTGTGACTTAAGTAAGGACTTCTCCCACCACTCCCACTGAGGTTTGCAATGCTGAAGGCTTTTCTGGGGTGCCAGAGGACATCATCTAACCTGGGGAGAAAACAAAGAGGGAAAACCCCTGAAAATTTGCTTTCTTGACCTTGACCATTCTTTACAATGTCCTGGTAAGCGTGTTCCTTCCAGTGAGGGAAAGGTTCCTGCTCTCTTTTTCCAGGTAAGCAATAGGAATGACTGGACAACTTCAACCACAATCTGGTTTGAGTCAGCCCCATTGGGAGGACCAGACCTCAGTCTCCTGGACTGGATTTTTGTCAGTCTCCTGCTGAAGCTCAACATCACGCACCTGGGAGTGTTTTGGGAAGGCAGGATCTGGGTATGGGCCAGGGCAGTGCCCTGTGAGCTTGCTTGGATGACCATGCACCTCCTAAGGAACAGTTCCAAAAACGACCTGGCAGTGTCTCTGCATGTCCTTGGTTGACACACCAGCTTACAGATATATCCACTACTGTCACCATCCACTTGTGTTATTTTTGAGTGGGGGATTTCTTGAGTCAGATCCAAAGCTGTTCTGGAATTGCATCTCAAATATGCAGTCGTTTATGGCTTCCATAGCTGGAGAATAAGGAGCTATAAATACTGGCATGTTTGATTTTTATTTCTGGATTTAATAATTTGGATTGAAAACATGGGGGGTCTCTGGACCTCAGTTACTGGGGGCATCAGATGCTGTTGCGTTCCTGCAGGTGAGCATGGAGGTGTAGAAAAGGGTTGTACATTAAAAGCTTGAGTGGTAAACTGCTTTTTGAGGCATTTGAGGTGCTGTGACAGGTTGCCTACTGTGTGCTTCCAAGCCCTCAGGTGTCTTGTTAACAACTGTGTTGAACTGCAGTAGGACCTAGTGATTATTTTTTCTTCAGGGGGTGTGGAAAGAACAAGCAGTGCTCATGGCTTCTTTCCCAGCCATCAGACTGGAAGGCTATGCTGGATTCCTGCTATTTGGTGTCACTTTGGTTGCAGTATTTCTGTACCATGGTGAGGATACCTTCATGGCCTGTCAAGCGCTTGCTCGCCTCTGTCTGTTTTCAGGCAGAGATTGTAGAGTGACAGTTACAGAGATGGCTGAATTTAATTTGCATTCTTGAATCCTGGCTCATGCCACCTCTATCTGTCATTCCTTGGCCTCCACCATAGTGATGCTTTATCACTCAAGTTTTTCTCATGCTGGATTTTGCCTTGATTTCCTCACTCTTTCTTTCTTTAACCTGTGCTCCAGCTGTAGCTAAAGCTGCCACCTCCTCTCTCCTGCAGGTTTTAAAGAGACAGCCTTCTTGTATGCCATCTCCTCCGCCGGGCTGACACATGCCATGGCCAAGGCATGCAGTGCAGGGCGGATGGAGCGTTGCACCTGCGATGAGGCCCCTGATCTGGAGAACCGTGAGGCTTGGCAGTGGGGTGGCTGCGGTGACAACCTGAAATACAGCAACAAGTTTGTCAAGGAGTTCCTGGGGAGGAAGCCCAACAAGGATCTGCGAGCCAGGGTGGACTTCCACAATAACCTTGTGGGCATGAAGGTGCGTTGCAGACTGCTTGGGGATTGTGGGGGGCAATAAGATGTGTGGAAACAAGGTATGTTGGATAGGAAATGTATGGAGTTGTCCTTCTGCTGGACAAGTGAAATCTTAGTTACTGGACTATGGCCTGGTTTTGTTACTGTGCTTCAAGAGTTGTGGAAAATGGGAAAGAGGGAAAGAAACAGGACTGTCCAGGTCTAGGAAACATGAGATGGCAACAAAGGTTGCTGGCTCTCCATAGAGAGGAGAGGGTCTTATGCTGCAAAGGGATGGAAGGACAGGTTCTTCAGGCTTACATAAGGAAGGGAGTTATGCTGCCACACACAGGTTGAGGGATGCTTTTCTTGCACCAGTTCAGTACAACATGGAAAGTATATCGTGTCCTTAGCATAAAGGTTTCTTAAACTGTCTGGACAAACAGCTGGCAGGAAACCAGGCTGGAGATTACTCTCTGACCTCAGTCCTAAAAGTCCCTTCTGCCTTGTTTTCTGGCAGAGCCTTCCACATTGCCTGGAGCTGCTGGACTTGCAGCAGATAGTGCTTGACTGTATAGTCCCTTTGTTTCCTTTTGCTATCCTTATCCTCCCTGCTGAAGGACTTTCTGCTCTTTATGCCATGTTCTTCCTATGAGGCTTTACCTTCCTGCCTGAGGGCCTCCCTGCAGGACTGATGTAAAGGACAAAGTGACTGCAATTGCTGGGTCATCCCAGCAAGGGAGGGGAAAGGAAGGGACTTTCCACCTTCTCCCATAATCTGCTTAGCTGTACCTAGCCTAGATTTTTCTTGAACACTAAAATTCTGCAGATTGGCCAGCACAGGTGCCTAGGATCAGTGTTTCATTGCACCAACCTCAGAGGGGGACATACTGTAAGGCTATAAATAACTTTCCAGCCTTGTTATTGTCTGTGTGATTGGATGGATGGTTGGGACTGGGATGAGGGGGACCTGTGTCTCTAGTTTCCCAGGCAAATGCAGCCCAGCCAGTTGTGCATTCTAGGAATCGCCACCCCAGCTCAGTTGTTCCTGTGCGTATGCATAAAATGCCATTCCTCACAGTGGAGTTGAAGCATTGGAGAATGCCACCAGTGAGTGCTGGCCAGCAAAATGTCTCCCCCTCTCTTCACCACCAGATACTCCTAGACAGCGCAGAGATCAGGATTAGACATGTCCTGGATTTAGCTGGTGTCTGGCTTTGGCTGACAGCTTTTCTGCCTCTGAATTAAAAGGCTCAGTGCCTCTGAACTCCTGTTGTAGCTCTTTGACATGTGAAACAGGCTTTGCAGGGTGAGGAAATTTGTTTTAATCCTTGTGGTTCGTTGTTCCCTAGGGCCTGTCCCAATTCTTTGGAGCTGGCTGTGTAGCAGATGGGACTGAAAATGGAGAAAGTGGTCCGTAGAGGCTGTGATTTCATGCTGGATAATGCTGTGAGATGTCCCAGCTTTCCTTCCTTTCCAGAGTCATCATAATATAGTCTTGCCAACACCTACAAGGCTGTGGCCTGAGGAGCCATTTATATGTTCTCGTAACTCCGTGGATGTCTCCCTTCCACAGTGGTGGGGCTAAATAACTTGCCCAACAGATCTGACTTAACTCCCACGCTCTCCACCCCAGTAGCTGCAGTCAGGATGCACGTGTGGCTGAGATCTGGTCTTAGATTTAGGTTAGATGCCCTTATTTGTCATTGCTGCTCTACACATTGCCGATATAACTTTGAGCTAAACCTCCAAGAGTGAGCTGGAGGGAATGAATATCCTCTTTCTTTCTGCCCTCCCTTGTCCTCATTCCACTGAGTTAGTGGGAGTCTCTTGCATCTTCTGTCCCCCCCTTTACTTGGCATAGTCAGGCTCTGGTCATTTACAGTGGTTTCTAAGCACTAAACAGTGTAAATTGTGGTGGTTGTCTGGAGACGGAGAGCCGTCATGACCATCCAAGTCAAAGACCTTTGCTCTGCAGGTCAGTAATCCAGCGTTCCTATTTTTGTTCACCCATGCCGTGTCTGTTGAGTTGGTATTAGTGTCTGATAGCTTTCCTTGCCTGCTTGCAGCAGCAGTTAAAAGGATTTATCTGTTTATGCTCTTAACAATAATTGTACCATAATCTGGTTGAAAGGCAAGCCAAGCTGCCCACCAGATTCACAATACTATCATTGAAGCCAGACAAACTGCTTGTTGAAAAGGAAGGTTTTTGGAGGGTGGTGGTCCAAGATTAAGAGAACATATGTCTAAATAGTCAGGATATGTGGACCTAAACCAGTGGCACAGCATAGTGTCATTAAGGTCATAATCAGATGTTAGAGTCAGATGAGGCAGGCTTTGTAATTGCAAGGTCAGAACTGAAGCACTTGCTTCAGGCTTCAAAATACTGAATCTGATTTGAAGCCTGAGCATTAACTTTAGTGGGGCTGATGGATTGTCTCTGACATTGCTTACACTTCGGTGTAGATTACTATGAGGTTCAATTTGCTTCCTTCCTTCTGGTCCTGCTGCAAGTGCAGCATTGGTGGAAGATGAGGGTTTCACACTAGGCAGTAGTAGGTTCTCTCACTGAATTTATTGTTGTTTTCCTTGATGAAGGTAGTGGGTTAAACTGATGCTCATCATGTTTCCTCTACTTATCTTTCTCCAACAAAGCTACTCATCAACTAACTGCTGCTGTATAGACTTTCCAAACATTGAGTTGGGGGAGATGCTATGATAGTCTAAATGCATTAGTTTGGTTATTGAATAAGTCATATACATTTGATGTGAATTAAAGGCAATTCAGGAGGAGCACAGATAGCCTTTGTTTGTGCCAATTTGGAACTGAACAATTTTGAATATTATATAACTAGATTGATCTTATGGCCTCTAATGTGTTAAATGTCCTTGTGAGTTCCAAAAAGATGATTATGGCCATTTCAAGCAGGATCTGAGATGCAAACTGAATGGCTTTCCCAAGGTTGTGCAGCAAACTGATGGTGGAGCAGGAGATTGAAGCCAGCTGTGCTGCACTCCTACTCGGCACCTGCTATGTTTTTTCTCTAACCAAACCACAGATTTTATGTTTTAGTGAAGCCACACATACATGAACCAAAATCTTTGCTATGCTACAGGCTGATTTGGACTGAGCTGAGAATGGACAGACTTTCTCGTCCAGTGCTTGGTTTTGCTATGGGAACTTGCTCCAGAGCCAGCCTATGCTGGTGTACTTAGAGCGTATGTATGGATGTGCATGTGTGTGTTTGCTGAGGGAGTGGAGAAATACCTATTAAAGATACAGCCCAAGCCTGGTGTTCTCTTACTGATTCTTAATGACATATAATCCTTACCATCTAATTACTCCCAACCATGGCAAAACATATAAATATTCCCTTGAGACCCAGAAAAAAGTCCTGTGCTTAATTGCCTGATTTGGCAACCAACCCTACACCCTTCTTCTGGTCAACATGGCATTTTCTCCATGGTGTCACACTGACAAACAATCTGTTTATTTCTATGAGGGTGACATTATCCTATCCTGCCTATTTTTAATGTCTCTTGGTAGATGTTCTCATTTAATTATTATTTTACTTCTGTTTTTTTATAACCTTCGTGGGCCGACTCCAATTTTGCTGCCTCCAATGAAATAATCACTGAGCATGTTGTGCCCATGATGGCTCACAAAGTTATATGATATGACCTCAATTGCTAAAGAAAGGGCAAGCTTGTCTAGTGTGAGGATGAGGTAATTAGACCAGGACTTCTCCAGCCTCCTCTTTATTGAAAAGTAGGAGCTCTGAATAGGCCACTTATTAAAAAAGCAATTTCCCTTCCTTTGCCAAATCTACTCATGCTCATTCAGCTATTCTTTCAGAGGGGTCTTGGGTGGAGAGGGTGTATGTTGGGGGGGGGGGGAGATGTGGGTATGTGTCAAGGGGATGGGGGGTGGCAGTGGTGGTGAGAGAAGTCAACTGTATTAAAGCTCTGTTTCCAGCAATGAAGTTTCCTGGTTATATTAAATGAAACACAGGCAGCCTTGCTAAAACTCTTCTCTATATCCTCCTCCCCCTTCACACCCCCCCCCCCCCGGTACACACAAGTGCAGCCCTCTTTTGTAGCCCATTAATGAAAAGTCAGAATATTAGAGCACTCAATTAGTTCCACTGGGCTTGAGTAAGTGATGTTTTAATTAAATTTGCCCAGTTTCTCAGCAAAGTATCATTAAACATGACTTTCCAACTCCCTCTCTGGAGCGTTGCTAAGTTTCTTAATCCCAGGAGTGCTGACCTCTTCCAGAGGTATGTCTGGTCAAGCATGTCTTACAGATTCAAGGGGCACTATTAAAGGGGGCTGCTGTTACCCAAGGGAAAAAAATTGTCATGTTCCCATTCCCTTTCCCCTTTATTCTTCCAGAATGAGGGACAAAAATGAGCCTTTGCATTCAGGACCCTGAAGTCAGGGCTATAACCATAGTCTCCTTCTGAGCCAAGAGTGTTTAGTGCACAAGTATGAGAGGACAGAAACTAAGAACAAAATTCCTCCCTCCTCAAAGGTATCTCTTTAGGCAATATCCCCCTTTGAAACTGGTTCCTTTCATGGGGCTTCATTAATTGTATTCACACAGTATCAACCCATATGTTTTGGTTTGCACAATGTGCGTGTTCCTGGAGGACTGGTCACTCTTGTTGCTGTAGGGTTCAAGTCCAGACTCATCCTGAGGCAGGTTATACCTACATCTCTGAAACCATGTGAGATGCTCTGGAAAAGACAGTGGGAGGTGCATGGACTTTTCCTTGCTGTTGACTTGTTTTGGAAGTCCATGCAAGGAATGGCTTTTCCCCTTAGGCGGTGCTGGCAGGGATCTATCTCAAAGGCTGAACGTGCCTTCTGCACTGGAGATGGACTTTCCATATCAGGTAGATGTTTGCCCCAGCTATCATCTGTCTGAGGAACTTCATGAGCTATCACATAACATGTTATCAGAGCATACCACCCTCTTCATTTCTGTATCTCCATTTTACAGAGGGGAAATTGAGACCCAGA